ACAAATATTTGCTAAGATAATTATACAATATGCATCCGGATTGTTTTAATCCATATAATGATCTTTGCAATTTAATTAAGAATATAGTTCTCGGGCATGTATCATTTGTTCCTGGTATCTTAAATACTTCGGTGACTTTCATATATATGTCACTATCAAGTGAACCATACAAATATGCAATTACTACATCCATAAGGCGCATATCAAGTTTTTGTGATACGGTCAAACTAATTAAGAATCTAAAAGTGATGGTGTCCATTACGGGAGAATATGTTTTCTCATAATCAATTTTTGGTCTTTGTGAGAAACCTTAAGCTACTAGTCGGGCTTTGTATCTTGTGATTTCATTATTTTCATTTCTGTTTCGTACAAAGACCCATTTGTATCCAACATGGATTACATTTTCAGGTGTTCAAATTACAGGTCCAAACACTTTTCGTTTCTCTAAAGAATTCAATTCCGCCTGTATGGTTTCTTTCCATTTTAGACAATCATTTCTATTTTGACAGTCTTTAACCGACTGTGGTTCAGGATCCTCATTCTGTATAATATCAAGAGCCACATTAAAGGCGAAAATATTCTCCATAACAACATTATTTCCTTCCCATAATTTATGAGATAACATATAATTTATTGAAATCTCATTATTTTCGAATACTGAACTGTATTTTCAATATCTGATTGATCAATCTTTTCTAATGTAACTTCTTCCAAAATTTTTGGTTGGTTTTTCTCATGTACTTTTCTTTTTCGAGGTACAGAGTCTTTTGAACCAACTGGTCGACCACGCTTCTGACGTATTTGAGATTCATTTGCTACAACAGATTGTCCTACAGGGACATCAATTTTTGCTGGAATATTTTCTACTGGAACATATGACTTTGTCACTTTTCTTGTGTCAACAAATATATCAGGTAATTGATTTGCAACTCTTTGCAAATAAATGATTTTTTTAACATCTTGCTCACATTGATTGTTACGAGGATTAAAATGAGATAGAGTTATTTCATTCCAAAAAATTTTACCTTATTTTTCAGAATGTAGTTTTTCCCCTCCCAAAGTTGGGAAAGTCATTTCATCAAAATGACAATCTGCAAAACGTGCAGTAAATAAATCACCCGTTAAAGGTTCAAGATACCTAATAATTGATGGTGAATAAAAAAAAATCCACGTAAATCCCAAATCTTCGTTGAGGACCCATTTTAGTACGTTGTGGGAGTAAAATAGGAACTTGGACAGTACAACCAAAGACCCGTATGTGAGAAATATCAGGTTCATAACCAAATGTCAGTTGCAAAGGTGAATATTGATAATAGGCAATTGGTCTGCTACGAACCAATGATGCAACATGTAGTATGACATGACCCTAAATAGAAGCTGTGAGTTTTGTTTTCATAAGTAATGGTCTAGCAATAAGTTGTAGACGCTTAATAAACGACTCTGTCAAATCATTTTGTGTATGGACATACCCAATTGAATGTTTAATTACAATTCCGATTGACATACAATAATTATCGAATACTTGTGATCTAAATTCACCAGTATTGTCAAGGCGAATAGTTTTATTTGAGTAATCGGGAAATTGTGCTCGTAATTTTATAATTTAAGCAAGTAGTCTAGCAAAGGCTACATTCCTAGTGAAAAGTAGGCAAACATGTAACCATCTAGTGGAAGAATCAATTAATACCATAAAATAACGAAATGGTCCACATGGTGGGTGTATTGGCCTACATATATCTCCATGAATTCTTTCCAAAAAAGTTGGAGATTCAATATTGAACTTTATAGTTGAAAGTCTAATGACTAACTTGCCTTGCGAACAAGCTACACATGGATAATCATTAGGTAAAAGAATCTTCTGGTTCTTTAAAGGATGTCCATGTAAGTTGTTTATTATTCGACGTATCATTATAGCTCCTGGATGTCCAAGTCGATCATGTCAAAGTAAAACTTTTTGGGTCAACGAACTTCTGGTTCGTGACATTATTTGATTCAACCATTTTTATAAATGTATAATACATTCCAAATGGGAGTGTATGAAAATTTTCTTTTATCTGCTTCTGGCCAGATATAAAAGATGTTATACAAAGATATTCGATATTATTTTCTTGTGTCATCTCAATATGATATCCATTGCAACGGATATCTTTAAAACTAAGCAAACTTCTTCTGAATTTGTTAGAATAAAGTGCATCCTTAATACAATTATGTATTAAAATAATACAAGCTCTTCCGGAGCTTTCAACGATATTCGATGCACCTGATATTGTATTGACATTATTCTCTTTTAATGTTAAGTCCAAAAAATATTTTTTATCTTGAAGAATAGTATGTGTAATTGCACTATCAATCAAGCAGGTGTCTTGACAATCCATTATGAATATATCAATATAACAAAATAGATATATTTTAAAAAAAACTTGAATTTAAATTCAAAATGATAAGCATAATTAATACTGTGAAATTAACAATAGATAATAAAGTAAAGTTCAAAATTTTTACGAAAAGTACAAAACATATTTCAAACTAAATTTCTAAAATAAAGTAAAATACTAGAAGCATAAAAAAAAGCCTAATATATATCTTCCATCACACCACCCCAATCAAATGCTCAATGTTTTCATTTGGATCAGCAAAGAAATCGGAGACATCCAAATGAGTCACATCAATTGGACCATCATAGTCAGCAAAATTTATATCCACTTTTCTCTTTCCCTTAATTGATTTTTGGTAGAGATCCACAAGGTGTTTTGCCATACGACAGGTACGTGTCTAATGCCCTTTCATTTCACTTCTAAAACAACTTTCTTCATGTACCTTTTTAGGTGTGCTACTTTCATTTACTTTGTGTCTTTTGAAATTGTTGCCTTGTTGACTAATTTGTTGATTATTTCGTCCATGGTTTACTCCGCGTTCACGTCCAATCCACGTCCACGTCCATGTCCTTGTCTTGATATTGCATTTGTTTCATGCAATGAAAAATCATTTGCTTTAGGCAATGGTATAGAACCAGTTGGACGTAACCCATGATTTTTCATCAGCAGTTCATTATTCAGTTCAGCAACAAGTAGGCAAGATATAAGTTTTGAGTACTTTTTGAAACCACGCTCGCGATATTGTTGCTGCAGGAGCACATTCGAGGCGTGAAAGTTGGAAAAAGTTTTCTCCAACATATCTTCATCAGTGATTTTTTCTTCACACAATGTCAATTTTGAATATATTCTGAACAATTCAGAATTGTACTCGCTAATAGTTTTGAAATCTTACAAACAAAGGTACATACACTCATAACAGGCTTTGGAGAGGACTATAGTCCTTTGATGGTTAAATCTTTCAGTTAATTTTTTCCAAAAAACTCGTGAATCTTTTTCAGTAAAATATTTAATCTTCAATCCATCTGAAGATGATGACGAAGGAAGATAAGTGCTTTTGCATGATCCTGCAGGGATTCTTTATTTCCTTCTTTTATTATCTCTCCTAAACCTTTTGAGACAAGATAGATATCAGCATCAAGTACCCACGATAAATAATTTTTGCCAGAGATGTTAAGTGCAGCAAACTCAAGTTTTGTGATGTTTGCCATTTGATTAACTACACAATAAAGTAAAAGAAAATATAATTAGTTTCCAAGAATATGATTAAACTTCATATAATACTTAATCAAGTAGTCAATATTAACATGACATAGGTTATGTGTTTTCCTCCAGGGATAAACACTAAAATAATATATTCTTCGAAACATATGCCACTTCAGGAGCACGTTATATTTTATTGTTATTTCTTTAAGATTAATACGTCAATATTCTTCTGGAATATCGAAAAATATGATTTATGCTCTTCAGGAGCAAATAATATTTTTCAAGAATATTAATTATAATATTTTGCTACTTCAAGAATATCAACAAACTATTTATAATAGATAGATCTTCAATTAATACTCTTCTAGAATATTAATTATAATGTTGTGCTACTTCAAGAGCAACAACATGATAGAATATTAATTTAAGATTTATGATAGAACAACACAAATATTTAATCAAGTTAAAGAATATTAATTACCATACAAATAAAAAAATAATTACCAAATAGATTGGATATGAATTTATATTTTACAATTAATTACCAAACATGTATTACAAAAAAAAAAAATCTTGAAAAGATATGCTTTAAAGTTATTCTTCACCATAAATATATATTTTACATCCATAAAAAAATTAAAGAAAGAATTACATAAATTAATACATCTAATGCTACACATGTTACACAGTAAATAATATTTAATAATTCATATACATGAATTAAAGCAAAGTACAAATTCTTACTGTGCAAATTAACCTAAATTGACTCAAACTCATATTCGAAAATTGAAAACAAGAGGTTGTGCCACACGTGAAAACATGGATTAAAGACAAATTTTTATGCATCTAATGATTGCAACGCCTGAATATGATTTAAATAAATGGATTTACAGAAATCCATGCAATTGACTGCCACATAACCAAGAAGTAAAATTAAGAGGTAGAAATTAATGCAATTGTAGTGGACAAAAGAGCCTCCAATTTATGATTGGTACCATGAAACACATATTAGATTTGAATTGGACAAAGCACAAGTTAATGTGTATGTATAAATAGAATTCACACGCTATCAAATTAATTTTGGTACACGTGATAAATATTCATGCCTATAAAAATTATTACATTTACTAAACTTTGAAAAATTACGTTATTGTGCTGATAATGTGTTATAAAAGTGAAGAAAAGAGAAGTGAACAAAGAAAAGTCAATAGACTTATGTATTTTATTAAGAATCAAAGTTCTGTATTTATAGGACAGAATTAGAGATACAATAGTAATTATTTTTAGGACTACAGGGATGTGATTGTCATTCACCTCAAAACCCTAATAATATTTCATTTTACAACAGTAAAGTCTAGTCAAATACACCAATCGTGATCTAAGTAAATTATTGTAATATGCATAGAACGCCCACGAAACAGCAACCCCAAAGTCACATTTGGAACAGTGTAGCACCACCAAACTCCAGCCTTTTTCCTTTTATATCATCCCTACATATGAATACTAAATGTTACGATTAACTTACATAGTCTCTGTCTCTCACACACTGAAGAAAATGAAGTTTCATGCTCTAGCTCTTTCTTTCTCTTCTGTATTGTGTTATCTCCTTGCATTCTCGTTCTTCCCTCACTCTTCCTATTCTGCTTTAGAATCCTTCGTATACGCTGGCTGTACTCAGTTTCAATACAACGATGGCTCAACCTACGAGTCAAATCTCAACTCGGTCTTGACCTCCATAGCTAACTCAGCCTCCCTCTGCAACTTCAACAACTTCAAAATTTCCCTCCCGGGCTCCACAGAAAGCGATATCGTCTATGGCCTGTACCAGTGCCGAGGCGACCTGGCCAGCTCCGACTGCCACAACTGTGTAACCTATGCAGTCAGTCGGCTCGGGAAAATCTGCTATGACACATCCGGCGGGACCTTGCAGTTGGAAGGGTGTTTCGTGAAGTATGATAATATATCTTTTCTGGGTGCAGTAGACAAGACCGTGGTGTTGAAGAAATGTGGGCAGTCATCTGGCTATGACTCGGACTTCTTGACTCGGAGAGATGCTGTTCAGGCGTATCTTACCGGAGCCGGGCAGTATTTTCGGGTCGGCGGGTCAGGGAAAGTCCAGGGTATGGCACAGTGCGTACAGGATTTGAGTATGGGCCAGTGCCAGGATTGTTTGTCAGAGGCAATCCAACAGTTGAAAAACGAGTGTGGATCTTCATCTTGGGGTGATATGTTCTTGGCCAAGTGCTACGCAAGGTACTCGGTGCGTGGGTTCTCTTCTGACGGTGGTAGGCAGTTCCGCCGCCTTGGGTGGTGGTTCATGATTTGTGGTTTCATAGTTTCTTTAATTTTTGGCATGTTAGATTAATTGATGAAGTTGCTTTTAACTGTTTTGTTGTAAATAAAGGTATTCTCATATTATATTTTATGCATGGAAAATTTGGTGCAAATTTTCAAAAATCATTGGTCCATTATTGTTATTACTTCTTCCTTTTTTTTTTCCCCCAATTTAATTAGTTAATAGTGTACACACTGAATCTATTTTCGATGAATTAAGCTGAATTGATCAAAAATCATTGAAGCCTTAACATCCTCTCATATGCATGTAGAATCCGCGCGAATTAAAAATTAACTCCCATCACCTATTGTGAGTGTTTGGTCAGGTATGCTATCAATCCTTTCTTGTCAGTGTATCAAAG